TCCAATAAATGTCATTGTTCCATCCTGCTCTCCTTCAAATGCAGTGGAATTAATGACGATCGAATCGACCAGAAGCGCCTTTACGGGCGCCGCGAGACTCGATGCAAACTCAGATGGCGACATACCGCCTGACGAGTCGGTGGTATTTTGATCCCCATTTGCCTGGCCGGAAGACACCCCAGGGGACTTGTCTCCAAACCTCGTGGAAGTCCCTAGCGTAGCGGCAACGGCAGTCATTTTGTTTTCCGTGAGCGTACCGGTCTTGTCCGAGCAGATGGTAGTCGCATTGCCCATTGTTTCGCAAGCCCTCAACAGACGCACCAAGTTATTATCCTTCAACATTCGCGTCGTAGCGAAGGCGAGCGCAAGTGTGACAGCGAGAGGCAATCCTTCGGGAACGGCAACGACGATGATGGTGACTGCAACGATGAAAATCTGGAGGAAGGCCTGACCTTTGGCGTCGGCACCATCCATATCCTTCAACTGGGCCAAGAACTTGATGAAGAGCACGACGAACAGCAGTAGACCGGCTGCCAGACCAAGTTTGGCGATATACTCCGCAAGCACATTCAATTTCGACTGCAGCGGTGTCGTCTGGCCCTCGTCTTGCAGGGACATCAATGTCTTACCATATGTTGAGTTGATACCCACAGCAGTGACCAAGAAAGTTCCCACACCTTCGGACACCTTGGCACCAGAAACAATGAACGGATCAAGCTTCTTGAGATTTTCATGGCGTTCAATGGCCTGGTAGACGTCGCTGCCGGGCATCTTGCGCAAAACATCTGACTCACCTGTGGCGGAGGATTCGTCGCACTTGACATTGTGACCAGTGATGAAGACACCGTCGACTGGGACGAGGTCTCCGGGTTCGAGATGCATCACATCGCCAACCAGCACATCATGGACCGAAATCTCCACCGTCTTACCGGAACGGATGACCTTGACGTATCTGTCCTCCTTCTTCTTATTCAACTTCACAAACTGGCGCTCTTTTTGCCAATCATTGGCAGCACCAACGACCACCACGATCACGATAGCGACAATAATGGCGACACCTTCCACCCATTGGACTCGAGCTTCGCCATCTGTGGCTGTGATGGACTGGTAAATACCGAGAGCAAGCGAAATGACAGCGGCGACAGTCAGCAGGATCAAGACCTTGTCGTTGTACGCAATCCACGCAAGCTCCCAAATACTCTTCGGCTTTTTCTCAGGAAGTTTATTGATGCCATATACTCTCTTCCGGTCCGAAAACTCGTTGTCGTGTCGCTTCGCGGAACCTGTGTTAGATCTGGATGGTGGCCCTTGTTCAGGGGGCTCGGAAACGGACTTGGGAAGGGAGTTCTGAGCGCCCGAGGATGCGACCTCTTCGAAGCTCACAGTGCCATCCAGGGTAGTTTCATCCACACTCAGACCGCTGCGCAGGTTGGTGCGCAATCCCTTTTCCAATCCCTGCAATCCACCCAGCGCGTGAAACGCGCCGAGGCTCTTGGGATTCAGGAGTTTATTCAGCTGGCCAGGAGAAAAGGCGAATCTGTTATCCTCCACCTCAAATTCGGCCTCGCGACCAGGGTCCGGCTTGAGAGCTTCCTCATCACTGAGAATTTTGTCGTTGTCGCTATTCTTCTTCCCCATATCCGGACGCGGTCCTTGCGATGAGGGGGCAACATACGTCTCTCCCCCATATGTGCTGGCAGTCTGGCTCGTGTCTTCCGATTCCAGTGAATTTCCACGAGACCTCGTGCCAGGAACCGAAAGGAAATTTGAATTGGACATCGACTCGGCCAGTTTCGACGTGGGAGACGATACGTTGTGTGGAGACGTCGGCCTACTCTCATGGTCCCGGCCCTCTGACGAAGCTGATGAGCGAATTGAAGCCGATGAGCGCAGATCCGTCGGCGATGGAGCGCCGTTATTTAACAGAGCGCTTGTATCAGTCGCCTCAGCAGGCTCGGTCGAGACTTGTAGAGTAGGTTGTGACGGATCCGGAGTCGCCGTCACAGCGGATGTATCTATTGTGATGGTGGGGGCTCGTTCTCGTCGAAGCGGAGTCTTCCCGTCCTGATTCGGATTCGATGACATGATGGCTCGGGATTTGGAGCCAGTAGAGCGGCTTCCAAGAGAGTTGGGGGAATGGTGTGGTATGGAAGGGATAGATTCTGGGTCAAGAATGCCCCGGAAGGAGCGAATCAAGCAGTCACGTTAAAACATACAAGGAAATTGCGTCAAGGGGTAGGACAACATTCCAAGTTTCGAAGACAGCACAATTAAGCTCAGATACAGATAAGGAGCAGGCGATCAGGGATGAGGCACATGAGTCGATTCAGATTTGCGCGGACGAATCTCCTGCTGGCGCGAAGAAGATAGGAGGACGCGCTTGGAGGCTGTAGAAAGCACAGTGACCTTCTACATCAGTCGAATTGCCACTCACAGTTCGTTCAAGAGGGACAGACGAGAATTATTCGCAAGGCGATGTCATTGAGAAGCTGAAGATGCGTATATGCGAGATACAGCGAAGTCGTTGCCAAGAGGAGCTGCTGGTTGTTATTATTGGAAGACTAAGCGTCACTGACAGTGGTGCAGTTCATGTATTCAGATCATGAATGGAAACCTCAGAAGTCATGCTACAGAACACTGGAATGAGGTAGAGTGTACGGAGTAGACAGAGTTAGGAGAAACTATACGCACGACCTTTGGAGTAAATCTTGAGGTCGGGTACATACTGGGGTAGGTAATTATGTAATGTAATTACAGAGTTAAGTGTGTTCCATCAGTCCCACACAAGCCACCAATTAAAGGCCATGAGACAGGGGTTCTACAGCCACAAGGCCCCAGGTGGACCCGCTCCGAGATCGAGACCGACGGTATGGTAAGGTAAAACAAGCTGGCTCAAAATTTAAATCATAACTGCTTGCAGAACTGACGCATGTCACGGATTTTAGTGTAGCTCTCTCCAGGGTCTGTCCATCTATCTTAGGTACATATAAAATGGTAAAGGGAGATTGATGATTGCAGACCTGATGAGGATGAGTAGCAAAACCAGGTTTAATTGTACAGGTCAATGAATGATCTTGCCACCTCTCCTTGATGAATCAAGGAGACGGGTCTACGGTGTAGTCTACGGTGTATGGAATCGGATCTTGACTTGGCATTGCATTTGCACTGCCTCAATCGCCTGCCCTTCGCTTCGCCATGACACCTCCTTTTTTCCGCCATTCAATAGTTTCTTGTTTTCAGAACCAAGCAAAGTCCATACCGAGGATGGACTCACGGAATTGCCTGACTATTTTCTAGTCAGTTACAAGTAGGGGTCAGTAGTCTATATACTAGGTGAATATGCCTCCTGAATCAATCACCAAATACTCCGTACACCGTAGACTACTCGATGAATGAAGCAACGTAAGACCATTGCCACGACATCAACTATATACGTACTACCAAACAATCTACTGCTTCAGTCCGATGCTCCGGTTATCATTTGCTGATTTAAACCCCGTTGATTCTAGCCAGGAGATCAACCACTGACGCAGCCAAAACTCTATTATTCCTCTTGAGTCTTGGGTATAGCTGGACAATTCTGATATTATCTGATTCTACATACTCCATAGTCCATACTTCATAGTAACTCAATGCTGTGGTCATTATTATGCCTCTACGGAGTAGAGAGGTATCAGACATCACAATTGCAAAACCAGAAGAATGCCACTCATCACCAATTCCGTACAAAACCATGGCCCATGGTCTAACTATCTCCCTGTTCGGAAATGATTGATGGCTTGGCAAGTGGGCTGTGCAGTTTCAGACCCATAGGTAAGAGTCAGAGTCTAGTACGGAGTAAATCTGGGTGACAGCGAAAAGGACACGGTTATGTGTGGCCTTTGGCACAAAAATTATGGCCTTTTCGCAGAGCACGTCGGGAAAAACTCACTATAGTTGTGAGACAGCTGTAGCTGCCTGTTAATATATTAATACTAGCCCAGACTTATAATAAGATAACCGCCGCTACAAAGCTCTCTGAAAACCTGGCCCTGCTATATTGCACTGAGAGGCTCATATACGCTTCGCTCGTAGGCCTTGATCTCTGCTTCGTGCAGGATGGCCTCTGGGCGTGGGAGCGCTGATACAAGGCAGGATCTTGTGAAACAGGGAATTTAATATATTAGATAGCCTGCCAAGTCGCCGGATATGAACCTTGTATAGGGTAAGATAAAGGATCTAGTTAGTGGGGGGCTTTCTATGCAAGGGGACCGATTATTTAACCCCCTCAGGCAGGTTGTAAACGAGACCTGAGAGGCTATTTATAATAATTATCTACTAGGATAGATCTAATTGACGCCAGCAAGGTGCCATGCTATCATCGAGGTAGATAGAGGCCCTGTACGCTTTTAGGCGCTTCAAGGCGCTTCTGAATAGCTTCAGAATTGACTTCGAAATTTGATATTAAAAATATTTAATCGGTTCGCAATGACCCACTTGGAATTTCAAATCAACAACTGTCAACTGTTGTAAGCAGAAACTGACTCCCATACACCTTTCGCCCGTCCCAAATGAAGCACCGGATTCTCAATTGTGCAAAAAAGAGGTCTGTAAAATTTCCATCTGATTATCAAGAATCTGCAATTCTGCATAGTCCTTCTTGAAAACTGCATGGATAAGCCGTGTCTCTTCGTACCCTACTCTTATATTAGTTGAGTCAACGGTGAATAAGGCGGGGTATATACTAACCACGTGTCGGCGGAGAAGTGGTACAATTGACAATGATCCAATCTTGGATCATACCATCTACTCGCCAAGGGTAATACTGGCCATTCTCGTGAAAACGCATAATGTGTTCGTTGACTCGGTCTTGCTCCCGGACAATCCCCACTGCCCATTTCTGGCCAGGAATCCAAAAATCGACTCGACCGTCTGTGGTCCTAGACCATTCGGTATAGACTGGCACACCTCTACCGGCTATCTTATTAAAACACCGGTAGAACTCGTCTTGATACTGTGCCTCAATTGGTTTTGGCTGTGCACCACTTGACAATGTCTTGCCTTGGGCTGAGTGCCTCAGATTCGAGCTTGAAAACTCTCGTAATATTGCAAGAGTCAAATCTCGTAAATTTTGGAATTCGGAGGGTAGACTTTTTGCTCTTTTTGCGATGTAGTGTTCGATCCACCTAGGAATAGTTAGAATAATGCAATCGAGATATCTGGAGTGGATACTTAGAGATACATGCTTTTCATGGAGTCTTGAAGGAAGCACATAGACCTCCTTGTCGCGACCATCCTCTCCGAGTATTTGCATTCTGTGCAACCATCCGCGCTTGTAACATATTTCTGCCTCTTTGTTCGGCTCCCATAGTACATTTCCTTCCTCCAAAACCTTAGCGAGGAGGTTTGCAACTTCCGTGGTGAGCCAACGGCCCTGGGGCAGTGAACGTGATATTAGCTCTTGACCTAGCATGTCCCAGACATCCTGATCCCGTTTCAAGCTGTCGACCACGTGCTCCTTGGTTATGACTGATAAATCACGGCTCTTGATAGCATGGCGATAAAACTAATGCAAACTCAGTTAGTCAAGGGTGCATGAAAATAAACTGCGTTTTAGTTGGAATGAAGGAAGAAACTCACGTCGTGAATGTACTTTAACACAGAGCTAAGACCACCCGGGTGTCCGTTTGTCAACGAAAAAAGATAGTCTTCGGCGTCTGGACGGAGGGTAAACTTTTCTTGAAAAAGAGAGTTCGCTATCAATCGCTGTGCAGCATCCGTGAACTCTGATCGGGTGAAGAATAGACCAATCGGAGGCGATGATGGACGTGACTGAGGGGTCAACGTCACGCGTTGAGCTAGCTTAAAATGAGCGGGCGTAAAATCATTATCGAGCTCCGGGTCAACACCACTCGACGGGCTCCCGTAGCAGCAAAAAAGACAGAACCTGATATCTAGGCCTTCGTCGGACAGGCCTTCATAGGACAACCGTGCCTTGATTATTGAATTCCAGAAGAGGGTGTCCGAATAGGATCCTTGGGCCTCGTCGATAATGAGGATAGTTCCCGGAGCCAGATAATCCATATGTGAACCAAATCTTGTCCGTAACATTCTGTCGAGCTTGCTCCAGGCGTGAGGGGCAGGGCTGTCTCCTACTGAAGGGTATTCATCAAGCTTGCGCCATGTGTCAATAAAGATTGAGTTCCTCTTCTTAACCTTATAATATTCCTGCAGTAGTCGAGCCAGTGTTGTTTTTCCGCTCGCAGGGGTCCCCCGCACATGCACAACTTTCTGCGAATCAATGAGGTCGGCGAGTTTTGAGACTGTCTCCGATCGAGGACTGAGATACTGACAGAGAATGGAAGCTGTTCATCATAAATATCATTAGTTATGCCATGAGATGATTGAGGATACAATCTAACATGTTTCCAGCTGGCTGCTTCCTTGTTGGGTTGAATAAACCTCTGCGTCTCCATGTTGGGTGAGCGAATGAAGACATTTTTGACAGAAAATATCCAGCTGTCCGTCCTTAGACGTTCCCATGAACCCTTCACAAGGACAGCAGACGGTGAGATTCCCGATCATGGCGGGAGAATTGCACTTCCCGGACATAACTTGCAGAACTGGAAACTTCGAAGTTCTTGGCGAACGGGCGTGACTGTGGTGGTAGAATAACTAGGAGCCATAGTGGAGTGTTCCATGATATATGGCTTAGTGATTGTAGTTATCCAGGTCTTTATTTTTGAAATAAGTGTTGTCTGAAGCTGAACGCTGTTTCCTACACTGATTGGCTGCGAGAACTTCCGTATGGGAGCGGCACCTGGGAAGAGGGACTGACGAGGCATGGGAATTCACAGGCTTTCCTTGAACTGAGATAGGTTAGCAAGCTGCGCATTAAACCTAGAGCAAAAACTACCAACATGTATGAGTTTACGAGTCATCATGACATAGATAGACTATGATATTGGAAGGTCCTCAACACTTATGAGTTTATGATAGTCGAAGCAGAACGGAGACTAAGGTAGCTTGGTTTAGCCGAAGATCATGGAATAAGCACTGTGTTCTAGAAGGTTCCTCTCTGACTACGAAGTATGAAGTACACTGTCTTGTCCTGCAGTGTAGAGGCAACGAATGATGCATTCTCAGCTTATGTATGTAGAAGGTAGCTGTATACACGGACAAGCGATAGATGGCAATGAGATCATTCATACGAGTACCGCTTCCATCTCCATCTCTCCATGCATGGCAGCAACCACCACCATAACATAGCAACACCACCCCACCACCACCAATTCCAACACACACCATCTAAATAACCATCGATACAATGGCCACCAGCCTCGACCCCGTAACATCATACGGCCTAACCGCCGTGCCCTCCTCCTGCACCACCCTTCTCACCAACGGCACCGGCACCGCCCAATCCCCCCCCTTCATCCCAACCACCC